CCCCCCTTGGCCGCAAGTTTTTAAATATTCTATGTTCGGCTCACCTTGCTGAGGTGGTCGGTGAAATCATTGACTGTTTCGCCGAATCATAACCTGAGGAAGGTCAAAGCACTGTTGGCAGAGATCAGCCAGCTGGCCACTGGGAAGGGTGACCGATCTGTGATGTTCCCAGTGCATCAATTGCATAGCATTCATATGCATTCATGCGATGCCTGCAAGAACAAGGACGCTATTAGGTGGAGGCCATCGCAAGTAGGTTGGAGGCCATCGCTACTAGTAACAAGAAACTACAGTAATTAACAAGGAAAGCTCTGAGGTGAATTTTGATGATTCTCATCGTCAGCCGACTCTTGCGCCTTCAGGCTGTTCATGCCATTTACGTTCCAAAGCATGTGCCCAGTTGGATGAGGCGAAGCGAGAATCAGTTGTTCAGATGCCCGCCCACCCGCTTTGAAGTGTGGACCTTAGATGCTGAATTGTGGGGCGTCCGCTTGTAATGTAGGGAGGTTGTGTCATTCTTTGATGCTTTCAACGGATTCATTTCAACATACAGCCCATGCATCAACATGCCTGCTGCTTGACCTTGCTCTTGTTACAATAGAATAGAAACAATAGACTTAGAGCATGATGAGCATGTGCTTCTTGTGATTCTCGACAGGTGAGGCAAGTGACCGAGCGAGCTGGGCGGGACAAGGGTGCTCGAAAGGCCAGGCATATAACTTATATAAGGGCTTTTTCCAGAGAATGACGAATGTCGACAGCACAACCTTGGACTGCTGGGGTAGGGGTTGGAGCTTGGAACGAAGCAAGCTGGACGGTGCTGGGGTGGTGCACCGGCAGTTAATGTATTGTGGCCAAAGCGCCAGCGAGAAAGGCTTCCAGCCTTGTGAAGAGATGAAAGGAGCGTCGTCATTAAGTTGTGTGTGTGATTTTCACGCTGGCTTCGTACTTGCAAAGTGATAGCTGATAGCTGTTTATCATCCGACCTTTCTCGACTAATATGTTGAAGAGTGCTTGGCAATTGGCAAGACTTGAAGTCATATTTCTGCCAGCCGCTCTTGGCTGCAAGAGGTTCAGCAAGCCGCGTGGCATATATCATATGCCGACTCAGACCAGCTTGATGTTTTAGTTTTTCAGTTTGGGTGACCTTGACCCGTCTAAATAATTTGTCGGGCGTGAGCCACCTACCTCCGGGAGCAAGGGATACGGGGATGACTTTGAGTAGAGTCGGATGAGTAGGTGGGCAGGCATCAGCAGACATAGCAAAGGCGCACAGGCTTCGGCTTCTTGGGATCATGTGCCATGCTAGATGGTGGTGGGTGACTAGCCTGCGACCCAGACAAAGGTGCAGAATTTGTCCATTGTGAAGATGATTTTGGCAGGGGGAGAGGGAATTGGTTTTTCGATTTGTGGAGTGTTTTGCCAGTTTTGTCTCAGTAAATTTTGATTAATAGTTGGCTTCCAGTTGACATATATTTTTTCTAAAAACCGTCAAGCTATGTTGAGCAAGTGCAGACGAGCAAAGTGCATAAATCTCCACACGACCGCGTGGCACGGATGCTGTTTGGAACGCACAGGCCACGGGACTTTATGCGAACACGACGTTGTGCGGCGCGCCCAAAATGTTAAAATCTGAAGCACAGCATGAATGATAGCATGGGGCATGCCGGGCATGCATACTGCTGCTCGTGCAAGGATGGCAACTGGCATGGACCACATTGTGAGCAGATGCGCGTCAGCCAAGACTGTCATTGGGTGCTGTGACGCTGCCACGAAGATGCAGGGCTCCACCAAGACGATTTGGCGGGACGAGATAGAATACCCGCCGGTGAGTCCGTGCAAGAAACAATGCAGGAGATTGGTCCATGGGATGAACTTGAGGAGCAAGCACGTGCTTTGGGCATCCTCACAAAGGAGGCGGCAATGCAAATTCTATGGTAGGATACCGTATGGCTGCGAATGCGTGTGCCAAGGGGGTATGGGTTTTTGGACGTTGCCAAGCCTTGGTGTTTCTGCTGCGGCAGTAGCGCGCTAGCCCTACTAGCTGCTGCATAGAGATCGACATAAGCAATGACGACAAAGTCCAGAGCAATTGAGGCAACAAAAACTTCCTAGATCATGCGTCAACCAGCGCTATCAGCTCACCTGTTAAGAGAACTCCTGGGAGGAGAGGTCGTTCCGTTTGGCGTGGCCCCTCATTCTGCAAATGCGGAGGTCACAGGATCTTCCTCTGGCAGTGGACCAGTGGAGGCAGTTTTCACTCATAATTATGTTCAAACTTGTTTACATAATTAGATCTTTACTCTCGTTGAAAGGATGCATGGAGATGCTGAGAGCAGTTCTTCAGAAAAGTGACGGAAGGTTTACAGTAGAGTTTGGAGATTGACGATATCAGCACAGCTTCCTAAGCGGCCAGGGCCGTCCGTGCTGCCCATCTCTCCAAGGCAATGCTCCACCGACTTCACCAGGTGGTTGACGTCAACGAACTGGGTTCGAGTTTACCGAGCTCAGGCAGATGGAAGTGCAAAGTCAAGTCATTCTGATGTTGAGATATTCTGAGTACTGTGTACGAGCATTGCACGAGCACCGTGACATTTCAATATACATTTCATACTTTCCTTAAAGGACTTCATAATGAAGACATCGGTACTGGGGCAGCTGGACGCGGTATAGAAGGCCAATGTTACAAAGCAACCTATTTACTGACTAAGCGCAGCATGAGCAAGTACAGGTGCTCCAAACGAGCCTTGGATGCGCTTGGTAAGCAACACACACACACACCTTAGAAGGGCGGAGAAAGATAAATGCTGGATCAAGAGGTGCGAGGCAAGGCTCACCTGAAGATGATGCATTCTGGACTGCAAATCCACTGGGGTTTTCGTGGTTTGTCAACATGTTCCGATTGAGGTGGCTTCGCTCCTGAATGTTTTGCTACGTTTTGGTTGATATTGTGCCTCAATCAGCATCCTCAAGCCTCCGATGGGTCGTGCGGCCACCGGGATTGTCTTAGACGCATCGTTCTAAGGACTTTGCTTCTTCGGCTCGGTCAATTGAACGCAGGGGGCGTCAGTGTAGTACTCACGCTGACACAGTAGGCGTCCTTGTTTTCATTCAATGTTGGTGGGAGACAAAGGAGGTCCCCAAAGGACCCACCATACTTGTAAGGAGTTTTTTCTCACATGTGCTCACGATTCTTCTAGGAGCTACTGTGAAGTGCCCTCACCCCCGCGCAGCGTTGCAACTTTCAAGCGACCCAGCCCTTGAGTGCAGAACAAGCAGAAGCGATGCCAGCTATGCCCATTCTGAAGCCAGCAAACACGGAGCGGAAGGGAAGCTGTGCAGATCATGGGTTTTGCACCTCGCCACACGAAGATCACGAGGCTTTTGACAAAATGATTATATACTGTATTTCCCTTTGCTCATTTTCACGGCTTGTGCTATAAGATGCTGTAAGTATAGAACCACGCTATTCCGAGGCACTTCGGAGGAACAGCAAGATGCATACAACGCGGTGTTGGAACGCATTGGCGCCGAAGGTGTTTTTGCTAAGTTGGCGCCGGATTCACAAGGCTGCTGGGCCCGCCTGGGATGGTATAAGGTGATGAGTAGGGTGAATATGGGTGAACGTAGGGTGCGATAGCGTTCTTCATAACAGGAGCTTCTCAAGAGCAGAGATGGAAGCAGTAGGTTGGAGGCCATCGCTAGTAGGTTGATGGAGGCCTTTGCTAGAACGGGGCAGCATGTAGAAGCGTTCTTGTCCCATTTCGGCGCAGGAGTGCTTTACATCAACGTGCCCTTCGCGGGGAAATTTGAAGAGCGGCCGGTGCTGGTCAACTTCTTACGCCGTGAAGTATTGAACCGGCGCCCAGAGATTCGGCTCATCCGCATTTTTGCAGCTTGGCAGGTCCTTGCGGCTTGCTTTGGTATTTGGGGTTTGATGATTGATGACTTATATAATGAGTTTATTGCTGGCAGGCCGGTCCGTGATGTCACTGAGGTCACGGATGTGCAAGACTTTTTCAGTGGCGGTCAAGCAAAGCCCAGCTATGATCCCAACATTTGGATTGCGTATGCCGTGCAGGCTTCCAAGTTTGAGCTGTTGCAGACACGCATAGCCAAGGGAGAAGCAAGCATCACGCCCCTCAATTCAGCACAATCAAGAGTGCTGGTTGATGCCTTTTCCCCCCTTCCATCTTTGGATGCTTTTGGTCACTGCAGGATGGGAGGTCTCCTTTGCCTCCAGCGCATCTGACTTTGGGCTTCTTAGCTCGAAATGTCATTGTATATAGAATGTTGCAGAGAGGGCCTTGGGTCTGAGGAAGGTTGGAAGAAGGCTGGGCAAGCTTTAAACAAACTTGTCTAAAGCATGCATTTCTGTATATATATATATAGTGTTTTTTGTTATGGGGTTTGGTTTGATCTTAATGTCCAGCACGGGGCTGAATAATCTTTGGTGTCCCTTCACAACTTAATGTCATGAGCAACAAAAGCCCACAGCTAGCCAGTATATCATGAACGATCTTGTTGTACAACGGTTTTTCTTTTTTCTTGGGGGTAATGCAAGATCTCCAAATTGTCAAAAAGCATGTTTATTCACGGCTTGGTGAAATCTGATTATTACATATTCTTATTCAAAGTTCTAGCACAACGATGCTTACAGGTCCTTTTCAAAATGTTCAACATCAGTTGGCCACTTGGTATGCGTAGATACCTGAGAAGGCGACAGAGATTTTAACTATATAAAGGTTGGCAAGAGATTTGTGAACTTTATGTGTTTTTTTAAACATCTCCGAAGGCTTCCATTTCTAGATGACTTAATGACTCAATTGAATATTTATATATATAATATATAACTATGACTATATATATATATAACTATATATATATATTGTACTCCTTTCAACGACCATATCGATTTGATAATATCGAATAACTTGTATGCCGAAGGCCACAACACCCAGGTGTATGTTTGTGAATGCGGCTCCGCATGCCGCCTGATTTGTAGCTTTTGGATTCCACATTCATTCACCTCAACATTTCTGAAGGAGTCCAAGTCTTGGGTCTTTAGCATGTTCCGAGCACTTTCATTTGAGGCATGCACCCGGACTGCAGCTCCCGCTTCTTGACAGCTGCTTGGACCAAGAGTTGATTGATTTGTGGATACCTGATGAAATTTAGCAGACCCGGCTTGACAAGCTCGATTCTCGATTCTCCCGATTCCGTCTTGGTTCTCTCGATTCTCTCGGTTCTCGATTCTTCGATTCGCACGCCGTTGCGGGAACGAACGCCCTCAAATTTAGCTGTCATATCCTTTTTTAACCTTGAGAAGCGACTGAGGATTTCGGTGAAGCGTACCATCCCTACTATTTCCTTTGGCAGACTCTTGGTTAAAACATCAGGGTGGAAAGAGATAATCGCCACTATTGGGTGGAGGCCATCGCTCCTATGGTTTTCCCTGAGAGGAACAGGTCAGGTGCACCTGCCCGAAGACTTGTAATGAGCTCATCATGTTGCCTGAAATGAGAAACTTGTTGATGTAGTTTATTTTTCCTTGGGTCAAGGAGGATTCTCTTCAACAACTTTGCCAGCAGCCAGTGCGCTGTCTTCTGCAACCTTTGGCTAGAAGAGGCCATCGAGGTTCAAAATGTTGCCAAGCAAGCAGGCAGGGCAATGCCAGGGGGATGGCATATATTGCAATATCATGGCATCATGCTTTTGATGTAGCAGCTGTAGCATCCATCTCTTCAATCCCTCATTTTGTGATGTTGTGTGTTATCTTGTGTCCTGGGAGGTATGGTCGCCAGCGCTGCTTTGAAGAACGTCCCTGGGCCCGGCAGCATTTTGGAAAGGTTCTCAAGATGGACAGTCTGAGCAGAGGCGGTGTTTGTCTGCGCTGTTTCCCGAGGCGATTTACTATGGTGAGACACTGACAGCACCATTGACAGGGAACAAGCGAGACAGGTTGGGTATGCGTACTGACGAATCTTTGAAAGCATGAACCACATGTCTTGCATTGTCTTGCTGACCGCTTACTGTAACAGGCGCCCATTCCACTACATCACCATTTCTGAGCGACTGCCTCTTCAGGCAACGGAGGGCCACATAAATTTATATCGCATCAAAATGGTCGTGATGGACCGGTGGCATGCGGCAGGTGGTTCCAAAGATCAAGACCACCGAGGAGGACTACACTGGACCCTACCACAACATGTGGAAGCTTAGCCTGAGCAAGACTTGCGTGTGCTGGCAGGGGTGGCATCGAGAAGCTGTTTCATGAAGTTTCTAGACTAGACTTCTTGCTGTTGTCGGGTTAGTGATGACTGCCATTCTTCTTGGGAAGAAGCTATCAGTCTTGGCAAGGGCGCCTGCCACTCCAACTCAGGACACTGGAGCAAAGAGCACGGGAGGCACTGATTGTTTGTCGCACAGTTCGGAAATCTAGACAAATTTGTTGATCTCATGTTGAAACACGGCTTCATGACTTCGGTGCAGGCTGCGAAGCTTCGTGAAATGGGCACCTTGCTTTTATCTTACTATATTTGAAGGATGCACTCCTGGTGCACTGTAGAAAGTATAGATGTCACGCAAGAGGCACTGAGCGGGCCTTATTCAAACATGGCTTCACACCAGTGCTGTGCTCCTTTGGGTCATGAGAATCCAAGGTGCTCTCCGTGACACGGACTGTGATTCCGACAGTGATTCGCTGAGCAGTGTGGGCAGTGATGAGGACGTCGAGTGAGAAAATGGCACTCTCCGGATCTCGGCCCAAAGACTGGGGGGACTTGATGTTCGGTAGAGAGCCAGAAGGCAGGTTAAAGAACTATGAACAGGAATGCCATTATTTTTCTTTTTTACCAGTTCCTCTTACCTATTTTTACCCATATACTGTAGATCATCGCTGCAGCAAAGTCATATCGCGTCTCGATGCATTTCAAGTAGTCCCATGGCCAGCGCGGCCTGCCAGCGGTTGATCCCCAACGATGGAATCACCGCGCTTTGCGAAATGTAGCCTATTGACCTTTGCAGAGTTCACCTCGCTGCCAAGTGGTAGCCACAGGTGGCACCTTGTTTAAAGTGTTTGAAGCCTAGGCTTGATGGTTGTAATGATGTTGATGTGATTGATAGATAGTGGCGATATAGCTGCCTCCCAAATATGTTTGTGCAGCATCATTGCTTCCATGCCTACGAAAGTGCCCTTTTGTCAAGAGAGTTTGCAGAGCCCTTGCCAACGCGTAGAAGATTCCTGCTCGCCAGCCTGCTTTTGGAGCTAACTTAGTAGTTTCCCAATTAAGATTGTTTGTTTGTGCAACCCGGTTCGAGTTGGAGTGATCGATAAGGGAAGAGGCCGGTGCAAAACTAGATGTTCACCGTTAAATTGACCAAATCAGGCTGGCTGCGCCAACGTGACAGAAACAAAGACCGAAAATCAAACTACCAGCAAGACAAGTGCATGTTTTGGTCGGTCGGCGCGTTACTCTGCCAAGCTTGCCACGAGTTGGAGATCATGAATCTCATTGCACGTTGTGCTGTGGGAATGTCATGGCCATCTTGTTTCGACAAATGATGAATTAGGCCTGTGTTTGCGTGCAGAACGTTCTGGGCCTTCTGGCTGGGAGCAGGTGGATGGTGAAATCCAAGAGGGGCGCTTGGGAAGCGTGGGTGTTTTCATATAATGTTGCTTTGATTTGGAGTGATTTTGCATTGAAGGGAGAAGCCGGATTGTCAGACAGTTTCTGCCTGCGATTCATTTGATGACACTTGTAGACATGTTGGTCCAGTTGCAGCATGTTTGACCAGTTGTTTAACCATGTTGAGGGTATTCATTTGGTCCGGCCCAATGCATTTGACCCTGGTGGGGCCGATCGAAACCCGAAGCCTAGGGGCCTAAGCCTCCATTTATATGGTTCTGAGGAAGAGCCTTGCAGTCATTTGGACAGTGGGTGCTTCCCTCGCTTATTTCTCGCTTAGTAGGTTGGATGCCATCGCTATTAGGTTGGAGCCGGAGCTTCTAATTAAAGACATAGGTCGGTGGATTCAAAGGGTACCACTCTGGCAGGTGCTGCCACAAATCTCGGAGCACGCCTCACGCTTCCCCAAAGATGCGCAGGAGCTGAAGATGCTGTCAATTGCTTTTTGGGCATGTGTGTAGGATGCATTGTAGACTTCTTGAGCCTTGGCCTTGGCAAATGAAGTTTCTAGGCAGGCCGACCCCTTTTCTCGAGAGGACCTGGAAGTTCTGTTTGCATTCTGCCTTTGCGTAGGCGTAGTTTATGGATTTGTACTATTGTGCTACCGGGTGCAATGTGCTTCCTTAGACTCTTTCTGCTAGAGCAGCAAGAGGCCTTAGTCGTCGTCATCGTCGTGGTCGTTGTCGCAGAGTGACAATTGCGGCAATTGTAGCTTGCACCACGACAAGACTACCAAAACAATAAGAACACGCAAAACAATCCACGCGCCGAGCAAGCTGCCCAGGTGCAGCTGCAAGCCAGTGGCTAGTGAGTCTCCTGGTCAGAACAATGTCGGATACAAACAACGGGGGCGTGAAGAAAACCGCCTTCACCTGTTCTCTTGGGCTGCTTCGCGTACCTGCGTAGGCATCCCTCTCTTGGGCCTCCCCTCGGTGAGCCGGGAAAAGGAGACCTTTGCGGCCAAGGGAAAGCAACACTAAAATGTTTGCAGAAAGCGACGGTGTAGAGCATGGCCTCCTTGAGGTCTGGACACTACAGGACGGAACCATAATGAGCAAACAAAACATAACAAAACAGTTATAAATCTTCAGCCGGTGACCACGCGGGTGAGCATGTTCCCCCACGGCAGCAGCTCATTGGCGGGACCGAGTGAGGCATAAGGCCCCAGCCAGCCCACTCTAGGGTGCAAGCCGAGAGAACAGTGGATGACATTCCGGCTCAGTGGAGAGACACGCAATTTGTATAGGCCAGTGATTTAAAATCGAAGCACCAATGAAGAACCAGAGTGCCCTGGAGAGGGCCACAAGGAGGCCGTTGTAAGGTGTTTAGCGGAATCCATCCTATTGGATGCTCTAGAATACAAGAACACAGAGATTCAGGTCCCTTTCGGGTCTTTCGAGCGGTTTTACCTTTCATCCTTTTTCCCTCTCTGTCGTTTTCTCTTTTGTGCTATAATGTACTGGTTCCGCATTCATGTGCCTAGTGGGCCACTGGGAGGCCTGGATCTATTTGGCTCGGGCAAAGATGGCATTGGGCAGCAAGCGAGAAGCCTACCGATCCTTGCAGGAGGCGAGGTTCACCGATATTCGTCCGTTCAAACAGCAGCATGTGGTTGCTGTGGCTCAACCCGTGACCATCCGACATGCCAGGAAAAGATTGTATATTATGAATATGATATAATATGATTGTATGTTGATTTCTTAACCGGAGATCCGGAGTGAACCGTCATTCGCAAGGCTTTGGCTCTAGATGAGGAAGTCTACCTGGGCCATTCCTTGAGTGTCCTTGCAGCTCAAGGACGGATCGACTGGTCTCAATGGGTGTTGGTAGAGAATCAAGAGTGATGAGCGCCCGACAGCTCAAGCATTGCAACCCCCAAACCTAATTCTCCAACCGCCATGTTTCAGGGAAACATGTTTGCTAGCCTGTTTGACAGTGGCATTGTTTGGTCACTGACAGGCTGGTTAGTAGTGCCAAAGCCAATCTTGCAGGATTCCTCGATCAGCGTTCGTGGCCACAGGTTGCGAAGCACGCTGAGGTGCAAGGGGTCGGAGCGGTACGTGAAGGACAAAGTTCATGATATGATGTGGCTCATAAACTCCACAAGCCAATCAAAAGCTGTTTGCTGGTCGAGGCGGCCTTGAACTGTCGTCCTGGAGACCCAGAGGCCCTGGAACTGCTTTTCCAGGCAGGGTGTGTCCATAGGTATAGGACGTCAAGATTTCATTGTCATTGTCATACTTTGTTTTCCAAAGGCTGGGGAGCAAACCAGATTTGGCAAAATTTCAACTTGCTTTCAGGCACAATCTTCGTTGGAAGAAAGGGCCAAGGCGCAGGACACCAAATTGGGCTGAAGGAACACATCCCGCATCATCCCAACAAAATCAAACAAATAACTCCGGGCAGCATTGATGAATAGCCAAAACTAGGACTTCAAGATCACAATCGAAAAATGACCTTGGTACAGCGAAACCGTGAGTAGTGTGCAATGTGTTGGAGAGGCTAACCGGGTGGGCACTCTCCAAGATCTGCTTGAGAGAGCTTACGTACCTTTGTTTGATCACAGAAACCGAATGAAACCGAGCAGGAGACTCTTCGAAGTCTGCGGCAGGCAGATCCACAACGCTGCCCTCTTCTGAGATGACGTCGCAGGATGCTTTAAGATGTGAGACACCTTTAGCCAAGATCATACTTTGCTTTTTCTCGGATTCCGAGAAAGTTGGTGATTATTGTTTTTCATTGCACTCATTCATACAGCAGATTCACGCTTCGCAGCCCCTGTCGGCCACAGTGGTGACACCTTGACCCGCCCTTTCTGAACCCTTCGGCAGAATGCGGCTTGACTGTGGTCGGGCTTTATTGGAGATGGTCCTCCCTAACCACCAGGAGCTCAGTTTCGAAGAGGTGTGCCAGACGGTCGAGAAGGAGTCTTCCAAGTTAAAGCTTGAGATGGATGCCCATGGTGAGGGTCCTCAGTGTAAGGGCCGCTACTTGGTGGCCAGTTGTGCTTTGAAAGCGGGCGATGTGATCTTGTCAGAGCTGCCCCTCTTCGAAGGAAACACTGACGCCAAGAAGAGTGAGAAGGTTTCTCAGTTTTGCATGAAAGTTTGGTTTTCCTTTGGTGAATTGTGGAGCTTATGGTTGAATATACTGTACATGTATACAGTTACTGTATACAGATGCACTTCAAGTTAATAGAGAGAGAGAGACATTGATTGTCATGTTTCAACTTTGTTGGACAAGTTTGAACGATTGCATGCATGTTGCTATTTTTGAGCGGCTCCCCCAAACAGGTGACACATCTAAAACAACAGGACATAACAGGACCCAGCGAATGGGTTGCAGCTTGCAGATTCAGATTCATGTTTGCCCAGTGTAGCTTGTCACCCAGGTTTACTCGGACGCCTTTCTGGAAAAGCTCCACGCCAAAGAGGAGCAGCAGGATGATTTTGAAGAGGATTGTTTCCATCCGCGGAGCCCTTTGATGGACTGTGTTGCCGCCGTTCTTCTTTGCAAGCTCGAAGTGCTGGACAAGGAAGGAAAGGACAGCTGGGACCTAGCTGCCCTGAACATGCGCAAGTTTTGCGCACTTTGCAGAAGTCCAGTGCAATCGACCACTGACCACAAGGAGTGTGTGGAGGATCTGTGGGGTGCCTTGAAACCCGAATTGCAGAAAGTTACGTCTCTTGAAGAGTTGAGTCACATTATTCAGATTCTCAGCAGCAATCGCTTCGGACATGGCGGGAACAGCATGCAATTGATGTTTGCGGGAAGCATGTTTGAACACTCGTGCTTGCCAAATTGCTTCCTGGGTACCTGGGCCACTTCAGACCATGCGCCCCAGACGTACCGAGCACTACGAGACATTGAAAAGGGTGAGGCCTTGTCCATCGACTACTTGAATTTTCCCTTGGGCTATTGTCCAGTCTCGGCACGTGCGCAGTCCTTTCAAAATTGGGGCTTCACTTGCAGTTGTTTGAGGCAAGATGGCTGGATCATAGTTAGTCGTCCAAACAATCCATTTGCATGTGTATATATATATATCATATGTATTTTGCATATGTATATGTTTATTTGTATATTTATGATTATTTATGTGTTGTATAGTTATGTGTATATATTATGCATAGGACTATTATAGGATATACAGATAAGCACCACCTTTATGTTATTGTTTGATTGTTCTGGTTTGGTTGCATTGCCCGTCTAGAGGTTCCTGTATGTTCCTGTCATTGCTAGGTGCACGGAGTTGCCCGAAGTGGAGCGGAGTTTCTATTGCCCTGACTGTGGAGAACCGGATCTTTGCCCGCGGAAGCCCGGGAGTTCGGAGCTCCAATGCCTCTCATGTAAGAAAGTGGCCGAGGCTGACTACGCCGCTCGCTGCTTTGAAAAGGAGGCACGACAGTGGAATGATGAAGCCACAATTCGAGCCGTAGACAGCAAAGCACTCTGCGATAATTTCATTAATACATATTCAGATTGAATAGTTTATGGTTGCTTTCTTTAAGCCAGAAGTTTCTTAAACTATTCTTTGGCACCTTGGTAACGAAGGGGGAAGATGAATGTACTGTGGTGAGTTCTCCTTGCGAGAGGCCCAGCTACAGCCTGAACCTGGTAGCCCAGCCACGGAGACCTTGCGAAAGATCCAAGGAGAGACCGACGAAGAGAATTTGTTGGGCCATCGTCACCATCTTGTGGTGCAGGCTTTGTGGCAAGACGTGGAAGAGGGACTTCCTGATTCTGCTGAGCTCCCAGCCTTTCAGCAGATGTTGGAGGCCTTGATCGAGAGCATCTCCTCCGTGGGGCGATTGGAGCTGCATCCAAGCATGTTGAACTTCTACCACCTGGCGGCTTTGTCGACTCAAGAGGATTTGGAAGCTCAAAAGCACTACTTGCAGCTGGAGCACCGCATCTTGCAGCGCTTCTACCCAGATGAGGCCCAACGCCAGGAGGATGAGATTATGGCCTTGGTGAAATGCAACGCACCTCCCACAAAAGATGGGCTGGGGCAGATGGACTGATGGGGGATTTACAGTTCCAGAGCGGTCATAAGCGCCAAAAGGTTCCAGCTGTTCTTTAGCTCATTGGATCTTGGTAAGAACTCTTCAAGAGCTGAAAGCTGTGGATCTGTGGATTAAACTCAGCTTCCTGGATTGAGGCATGTCCCTTCTTTTGGAACTGGCATACTCCACTCAACCTCCTGTGCTTGCCCTAGCAGAAGCCACCTCAGTAAGGTGATGTAAGGTGCATGTCAAAGGTAGACGAATCATCAGTCGCTGCGTCCAGAGGCCATGATTCGTTCATTCACCAGTCAGTTTGGACCTGGCAATCCTCCTGATAGCAAAGACAGCAAGATCAAATTCGTGAAGAAGGACGCTTCATCAACACCGCCACTAAAGTTACAGAACATAAAGTTACAATGTGTGGCAATCATCCAGTGCATGCAAGTGGCTTTCGGAATTCTTTTTTGCAGCAAATGCTTTTGCGGAACAGGTCGAGCGGCACAGGTGGCTTTCTGAGGCCTATGCTTGTGCCAAAGCTCTCAGCATTTCCAGCATTAATGTTTGCTTTGCGGCTTGCATTATGACATGCAACCCCTTGTTTTTCAATGTATTTCATACGTCCATTCTTTGCTGTTAATGGTATTGAGCAAAGGCACGTGGCGGTGCCTCCCGGAAGCTGTTGCATGACCTTGCAGAGGCTGCTGTCATACGGCTGTGAGCGGACAGATGTTGCAATGTTGAGCCTCTGGCTAGTACACAGTTTTGGGGTCCACAATATTGCGGTAGATTCCACTATTATATATATATATATGTTTAACGCTGCTTCACTTGCTGGGCTGATACACTCCTATTACTAGTGGAATATACAAAGAACAAAGAGATTCCGCGGGACAGTTTGCACTGCCAATGCTGCACAGACAGCGGGGTGAATGGAATATATATATGTATATATATATATATCAATATGTAATGACGTGTAATTCATGCTCGTTCCTGTTGTGCCTGACCACTTCGAATTGAAGTCTCATGCGGTGCATGCCTTTTTGTTTTGGTTTTCACTTGTTTCCTCAACGTATATGGTGTCCTTCTGACAATGTCATGGAAACAGTGCCCTAAATTGTGCCACATGTCCTTGCAGGCAAGTTTGGTGATCGACCGCCGGGAGGAAGCGCTGGCATACTTTGAGCAGGCTCGTCGTGGTTTGCTGTGTGTACATCCTATTCTGTGAGGCTGTTTGGGCATATTCACAAGTCATCCAACTTCACCATCTCACCTGGCGCAGGCTTTCAATCACCCTGAGGGTCCAGACATCGACACAGCAAAAGCGCTGGCTGCTTGTCGAATGTTTACTCTTAGTTTGGAGGCCATCGCCATTTGGTTGGAGGGCATCGCTAGTAGAAAGAAAGACAAAAGAAAAGGACATCTCTTGCAGTTTCGACAGACTTCTTGGAGCACTCGTTGCAAGGCTCAGATGTATGTGAGAAAGGACCGAGTCACGGATGCCTTAGAGGTCTATAGGGCTGCTGCCTCAGCTAGGCAGCTAGGCCAGACACATCGTTGAGGTCAAAATGGTGTCTATGTGTGGGACATATACAGTAGGTCTGACCTATTGGTCCACCTCGCCAGCTTGCTGGGACATCAGCACACATCATAATGAGGACAGGCGGCATGGGTAGATGAACACTTGTTTGTTTCTTCAACGCTTATAACTTATGCAGCTTCACTTGGATGCCGTCAGATTCAACAAGAGTTGGTAGATCTGGGCCATCGAGGTTGCTCTCCAGAGCTGCCCAGGCAGTTGGAGTCTTATTCGTGGCTATGGCCAGCTTCTCCTGAAGGACCAAAATGACCAGCCCATGCTAAGGTGTTACTGGCCCCCCAAAGTGCTCAATGTTGTGATTCAGATTCAGATAGGGTGAGATCCGAAAGGCTGTTGTCACAAGCAGATCGATTCCCATGGAATTACTTTCTTTGTATCTTCGAAGTGTGTCGGCTTAAGGCTTACAAAGGCTGGACAGTGGTTTGGACTTTCTCGGGCAGTGACCATGACTCAGGCCCACAGCAAGGTGATTGCCATGCCCACACTTGCAGTTCTGCTATGCGGTGGTGTATCCTTCGTGACTCCCGGCAGCTTGCAGAGCTCCATGTCCCGCACCCCAACTACATCCACCCAAACCTCTCAGATGGAAGGGCCTGGGCTTAGTGTTGCAGGACTCGCATCTTGTGGTGCGTTGGCATTGGCGGCGGCTGTGGGTCTCCGATCCCGGCGTGCTGATCGTGTGGCAAGGAACTACACCAGCTTCAAGCGTGTGGACTATGCAGATTATGAATACACCAACGACGTTGGCTACCTTCCCGATGGCACGCCCATGAATAGGGCCGGCAATGCCATCAATCATCCTGAGCAAATCCCAGCAGATCCTCACGCACCTGGATCTCCGCTGCCCCGCGCAAACTACCTCAACTCTGTTGGATACCTCCCGGATGGCACTGCCATGAATGCTGCTGGCAATGCTCTCAATCACCCTGAGACCATGACCGCTTATACTCATGCACCGGGCAGCCCCTTGCCAGTCTCAGCCTACCAAGCTGACATCGGCTACTTCGTGGATGGCACTGCCTTGGATGCTGCTGGCAATGCACTCAATCACTCGGGGTCCGCCCCGACCAGCATGCCAACTGTGGCATCTCCATCTCCTGCAGCACCCCCAGCCTTTACTGGCTCGTCCTCTCCAGTGGCCGCTTCCGTTCGCCATCCCGGGGGCTTTGCTTATTCCCTGCAGAAGGATGGGAGGGTTGCGTGGGTTGGGGTGGCCTGTGATTGCCAAGATTCTTGCAGGTGGTATCAAGTTGTTCAATAACAATACACACATTGTTACATGCATGCAATCCATCCATCCATCCATCCATCCATCCATCCAGACATCCAGACATACAGATACATACATACAGGTTACATACATATAGTTACATACATACAGGTACATACATGCAGCTACATGCTGACATACATACAGTTACATGCATACAGTTACATACATACATACATAAATACATACATACATACATGAAACCACTGCAGAGTTACCAACACAACTGCAAATGCATCTGGTGGTTATGATGCCGAAGAATCAGAGGCTGGAGAGACCCATCACGCTCACTTCCACAATGTGGAGAGTTTGGTGCCGGCTCAGGAAGCCCCTTCTGGACCGATGGCAGCAGCAGCTCCCACAAAGCATGAACCATGACAAAGCTCGACCAGGTGCCAACGTACTGCATGTAGCACTGGAGCGCCTCCTGCGTCAAGAAGTCACCAAAGCAAGGAAGCATCACGGTATTTCGTGCTGATGGATATGTCCACCTTTTACGACACCATCCATCTTGCCAGCTTGCAGGAAGAAGCGCTTAAGTTGGACTACCCACCACTTCTGCTGGAATTGGCCATGCAGCTGTACTGTGGTCCCAAGGCCATCCTGGCGGAGCAGGAAATGACTCCTTTCTTCCATGTCGATCATGGAGTCCCTGCTGGATGTCCACAAGCACCTCTCCTCGCCAAGGCGGCACCCCAAGGCTAATCTGTCCTGCTGGGTCGACGATGTGGGCTTCGATCTCACGGGAACGACAGCCTTGCAGGTGGCCAGCCAAGCAGTTGAGGCCTATCGGGACCTTCATCAAAGGCTCACCAGTTTGGGACTGAAAGTCAATCCCAAGAAGGCCGCCTTCATTGCCACCGATCGTGACACCACATCAAGGCCATCCACACCCTTTTTCACAACTGGCCCACAGAACAGATCCAACACCTTGAGCAGGCGTGGACTGAGATCTCCCAGCAACTCAGCCAGAAACAACATCCGTGGTATGTGGTTAAGGGTCCAATGGCTGCAGCAATTGCATACATGACAGAATGGCAATGGCAAGTACATGACATTGGTGGCATAGACCCAGTGGACCCTACCTGGTTGAAGCTGAGATCACTCTGCATGATCCTTGGTGGAAACTCGAACGCACCTTGCTTCACGAGGCCAAAGCACAACGCACAGCACGGCTAGCAAGCAAAGAGCACCACCAACATCTTGTGGCTGGCCTCGACTGGCACACATACAGAAAGGTGATCCGCACCATACCAGGTGAGCACAGACCACACTTGAGGACGTGGACACAGGCAGCCATCCATTTCAAGGAAGATGGCAAACCCAAGCTCTGTCCTATTTGCAAAGTCCCTGCCACCACAAAACACATTATATGGCTGTGCAAGTGGCACCACACTCAGCAGCACAAGCCAATGCCTCCAGAATGGGCTGAGAGGATCCTGTGTGACGATGAAACACCTCTCTGGACAGCCGGATGGATCCCACTTGAGCCTCAGGAGAACAAAAACGACCCGCAACCCTACCAAGGACATGGAGCATGGCAAGATCTACAACCACTTGCACCGCATCAGTATCAAGGGTGGGCCTTCACTTTAGATGCCACACCCTCGAGCTATGACCCGGGAGATCAGCTTTGGATCTTTGGGCTCTGCGTGCACCATTTGACTCTGGGACAATTGGAGAGACTCGGGGCCAGCACAGGAGCACCACCACCGCCGCACAACAAAGCCAGAGCACTCATGGAAGGCTTGGTTGCCTTGGCGAAGCACACCACCACAGCGGTGAGGGTCATAGTACAGTTGGTCAGTGTTTGGGAGGCCTGGACACAGCCCCGCCACCGCGGACCATTTCAGGACCAACTGGAGCACCTCACAGAGCAAGATTACCAACGGGTCACTGTCCTGTATGTGTCCCGCAACACCAGGTCCCCAGAGGCCCCAGGCAGTGTCCGTCGGCAGCGTGATGCGGCACTGGCAGCATGGGAGCGGGCCAAACAATACCAGAACCACAAGAGCATCGAATGGCAAAGGGTCCTAGATGAAGATCATCAGCTCATCTATACCCACGCCATCAGCCGACTGGCCAAAATCTACAGTGATAAAGAGCACTACATCCACCAAAAGCCGCGCAGGCACCAGGGCAAACAAACAAAGCAATACAAGAAGCAGCTCATTGCCAAGTGTAGCAAACCCTGGACAGCTCCCTCCCACCGCTGGGCACCGCATAGAAGTGGTCATCAATGTGGAGCTTGTGGGGTACGAGTACACCAGGCCCTGACGGTCCAGGTCATTGAGGAGCGCCTCAATGAAGAATGCCCTCAACTCAGCATTGAGGACCAACTCCCGGCACCAGAACTGCCACACCAGCCCATGCCAAAGAAGATGACCAGAACTCAAGTCATCCAACAGCAAGAGGAGAAGCCACCACCACAGCAACATGAGCTTGAAGAAACTGCTGGATATCTACGCTGTGTGAGGTGTGGCACCAACGTCCACAAGAGAAGCAACGAACAAGTCTTTCAAGCCTTCGTTCAAGGACAATGCCATGATCAGCCCTACACCGCCGACCATGCAGGCCACACCAGTCATGCATTATGGCAAAAGGGCAGTAAAGTCACATGCACACAATGTGGCATCACCCTACATCTTGATCGGCAGCAGCGACTCATCCTCACAGCAGCTGTCAAAAAGCCCTGCAAAGGCTCCGGCAGCAACAGCTCCACCCCGCTGACGGAGATCTTCAGGAAACAGCTGGAGCAAGCATCCCAACATAGCTCACCGGCTTCACCGAGTGACACCAGTCAAGTGGCACAACAGGAAGCTCAGGCCAAGCCAGAGACGGTCAAGCAATCAAAACTTGACCACCGGCAGGCAACACAGTCCGGCGCAGAAGCAAAACCCAGGAGATTGCATTTCCCAACTGACATGGACCTCCAGGAGCAGGGCTCTGAGGCAGACAATGCTGCTTTGGCCATGAACCCCAGCCTCGTGGCAGCATCGGCACTCAACAACAGTTCAGGGCAAGCTCCAGCCACCACACCTCCGGCAGCACCCATCTGTGCTGAGAATGCCAGTCAGCCTAGTCCTGAAGGAGAGCCCCAAATGGACGACTTCACCGTCGACTACTTTTGAGCCAAGCGAGCAACCTGCTTTAGCAGAACGACCAACAAGGTCCAGAGCACAAACACTTCAGAAGAAAAAATACATACATACATACATACATACATGGCCGGCTCAAGGCCATAAGCTGCTCAAGGTGGCAGCCAACAAAGACCACCTAGTGCGTGAAGCCCCAAGCGAGCATCGCCTCGACTACCTGAACCGGGAAGGCCCAGGTACAAGTTCAACTACAGCACACTCTTTGCTAGTTATCTTGAACCTCACCTTCCTCGCCACTGCTGAGCCCTACGGCACCCGGCAGTGCTCGCCTGGACCACCTACGAGATCCACCTGATCTTCGTCTTCCCACTCCTTCGGCCTTGGGGAGTTTTTCAACTAGCACTTTGCCCGCTATCCCTACTTCATTGAGGAGGTCAAAGGCCTGTTCGTGTTCGGTGAAGTGATCATGTCCTGGTGCAGAGCCTATACGCCTTGCAGCAAGTCCACCTGTACGAACTGGATTTGGCAGGATAAGATGTATCCTGGCACTCGATGCCGACGCTGTGGTACTATGTGGACCTCTGCTTCGACCAGCGCGGGCAAGGGCAAAGGCTATGGCAAGCCACCCAACAAAACCAATCGAGGACCTCAGACATGGCTTGAGTCTCCACCAGGGCCCTCGAAAGTCCGACCTATGAAGATCTCCAAAGTCCAGCAAGAGGCTTCAGACCTTCTTTCTACGGCATGGACGACGTTGACAGAAGAAACACAGACCAAGCTCCAGGCCATTGGCATAGGGCCAACCAAGCTCTGAAACACCAGAGCTCAAAGATGTGTTGAAATCCCACATGGAGGCTCTCCCACAACCAG